AAAATACAGTTCAATTGAGTTTTAAAATTCATTAGTGAGATCTTTCATTTTTAGGAATGAGAACGGTTCCGGGGTTCTTTTTCAAATTTGCTTGTACTTTTCCCAGAGGTCTAGTTTGTTCAGCTTGGTTTCTCTTCTTTTTCTTAGATATTTTGTTTAATTTTAGAGACAGGGTCTTGCTCTAAAGACCTCAGTGAGCCTTGCTTGCTCACAAAGGCTGGAGTGCAGTGACACGATTTCAGCTTACCTCCACCTCCACCTCCCGGACAAAAGCAATCCTGCCACCTCAACCTCCCAAGTAGCAGGAACTACAAGTACGCACCACAGTGCCCAGCTAAGTTTTGTATTTTTTATTTTGCAGAGACAAAGCCTCACCATGTTTCCCAGGCTGGCTGGTATCAAACTCCCAGACTCAAGTGATCTTCCCGCCTCAGCTTCCCAAAGTGTTGGGATTACAGGTGTGAGCCACCATACCCAGCCTCTCGTATCTTTGAGTTAGTTAATTTTTAAAAAACACATGTATCAGCTCTTTCACAGTTTCACTATTCTCTCTCATTTTCTGGGTACCAATTCTCCTGTTACATTTTCCATTTCTCCCGGATTCACTGCATTATCAGTAAAGTGGTCTTTCTTATATAAAGGCAAAAATTATCAGATAGCCAAGGACTCAGAAAATGTATCATCCGTGCACAATTTTTTAAATTACATAAAATTATACACCAGCTAATTATTAAATAAATAAAAATAATAACTCAAGAGTCTCCAAGAAAATAATCATTTTCCTTCTAGAAATCCAATCTGAGGATATAATCTAAAATGCAGACAAAGAGCTATATGCACACAGTAAAAAGAGGAAAAACGGAACCGATTTAAATGTCCTCAATTAGAATATCTATATGACAGAATACCAATGAGGTGTTTACGAAGAGTTCTTCATTACACTGGGAAAGACTTAAAATATGCATTTAAGAACATAGGTTCAATAACATAAGGAACATAGAAAAATGGAATACACTAAATATTAACAGTGGTTGTTTCAGATTCCAGATTTTTTGAAGGTGTGTATTTCTTTATGCTTGTCTATAATTGTAAACGTTCCTCAATGATCCATATTAATTTTATAATCAGAAAAGAGAAAAATGTATATATGTTAAAAAATGAAAACTTCCAAAGGTAACAACAGACAAGAACTTATATATCTGGGCAATATTAAATAAGAAAAGTAAGATACTGTGTTGCTGGCCTTGAGATAGTCTGCAATTTACTCTCAGCACAGCACTCAGAGTACCCTTAGAAGAGGGGGATCAGATTTTGTGCCTCATTTTACTGAGTATAAAACCAGAGTCTTGGCCAAGTGTGTGGCTCATGCCTGTCACCCAGCACTTTGGGAGACTGGGGCAGTCGGATTGCTTGAGCTCAGGAGTTTGAGACCAGCCTGAGCAACATGGCAAAACTCCGTCTCTACAAAAATAAAAAAAATCAGCTGGGCGTGGTGGTACGTGCCTGTAGTCCCACCCACTCAGGGAGGCTGAGGAAGGAGGATCACTTGAACATGGAAGGCGGATGTTGCAGTGAGCCAAGATCACACCACTGCACTCCAGCCTGGGCAACAGACTGAGACTCTGTCTCGAAAAAAATAAAACATTCTGGCCAAGTATGGTGGCTCATATCTGTAATCCCAGCACTTTGGGAGACAGGGGCAGGTGGATTGCTTGAGCTCAGTAGTTTGAGACCAGCCTGGGCAAGATGGCAAAACCCCACCTCTACAAAAATACAAAAAATTAGCTGGGTGTGGTGGCGCCTGCCTGTAGTTCCAGCTATTTGGGAGGCTGAGCTGGGAGGGTTGATTGAGCCCTGAAGGCAGAGGTTGCAGTGAGCTGAGATCGTGCCACTGCACTACAGCCTGAGCAACACAGTTCTTCAAAAGGTCTCGAAGCACCAGCATGGTCAGAGCACCCTATCATATCTCTGCTGATACGGCTTGGCTGTCTGCACCCAAATCTCATCTTAAATTGTTCTCCCATAATTCCATGTGTTGTGGGAGGGACCTGGTGGGAGACAATTGAATCACAGAGGTGGGTTCCCCCAGACTGTTCTCATGATAGTGGGTAAGTCTCTGAGGTCTGCTGGTTTCATAAGGAGAAACTTTCACTTGGTCTCATTCTTTCTTTGCCTGCCACCATGGAAGACGTGCCTTTCGCATTCCGCCATGATTGTGAAGCCTCCCCAGCCATGTGGAACTGTGAGTCCATTAAACATTTTCACCTTTATAATCACCCAGTCTCAGGTACATCTTGATTAGCAGCCTGAGAACAGACTAATACATCTGACAACCTCTCCTCAGCTACAACTCAATCCCAGTCACACCAGTCTCCTAGCTGTGCCTCAAATCTACCAAGTGCACACATCTGCCTCAGGGTCTTTGCACCTGCTCTACCCCTGCTTGGAATGCTTTCCCTCCACATAGCCACAGAAGGTGCTTCAGATCTCCACTCAAAAGTCATTTGTCCGTGAGCCCCTCCCTGATCCCCATATTAAATAGCAATGTCCCCAGTATCCCTTCTGCCCTTGGCCCTAAGGACTTGCTCACCACTTGTGATACTGCAGAATTTGCTGGGTTTGTGGTCTCCCTCTCCCACTGGAAGAACTACTTTGCCTGGCATATAGGAGATGCTCAATAAATTTGTCGGCTGCCTATGTGAATAAATGCATTAGACTGCAGGCTCCCCCAGAGCAGAGGGGCCGAGACTCCCATTGCCACTGGGTGAAAGTGCATACAACAGGCAGCAACATCCCCCTTACAGTCCCAGGAATGTCTCACCAGCACTCAACTCTCTCCAGAAAAAGTACTTACAATTACAGCCAGAGATGATGGAAGTGAAGCACCGAAGGGAAAGGAAGGTAAGAGGGCTTGGGCAGAGTGCTGCAAGAGCTTTCATCAGAAAACCCAAGTTTTCCCATTAGGATCTGGCTTTTGCGGGGAGACAGAACTCCGAACTTTTATCACAGACTCAGAACCAGCTTAAAATCTGACATTTTAAATGGCCTTTCCAGTTAGTTATCCCTTCATTATGATTAGACATTTTTCTAAGAAGAAAGGGCACTAGGAAACCCACCAGCCTTCCTACACCCCAAACGCGGACAGAAATATCCAGCACATAGTACCCAGGCTCAGATACCATGACTGTGCTCCCGGCCCCATCCGTTCCTACCAAATGCCCACTGTTACACTGGTGCTGCAGAGGGGAACATTCTTGATCCTTTAGAGGTTAAGTTTTAGCCTCTAAAACTTCAAGGACAAGTTGATAGTGTAATGCACAGCCTCATATTCTCTGCTTTAGGAAAGATAAGAAAATTCATCCTAAGCCATTTCGGTCTTTTCTGGCCACTGCAGTGCACTGGAGATTAGGACAGGCTGGTGGTGTCTCGAGACTGCTAAGGAGTGTGAGGGTGACTCATAGCGAGGGAGCAGCCCTCGACTAAATTATTAAGTTTGCTGAATTTGCTCTGGGTCCAGAAGCAGAGAGAGGCAGCTGGGAGACTGGTCTTCCAGGGTTCGGGGACTAAAAGTGTCCCTTGGGAGGTAGGGGACCAGAGCAGAGTCACTAAGATCAGGCTGGTGAGGGGATTTTCCACCTGGGAAAGAAAACAGCAGGCTCCCGCCCCAAGACTAGAGCACATACAAGGACATGAGCTCAGAGGAAAGTAAGGTGGCAGCCGCAGGGCCTGGCCAAGATGTCACAGCTGGGATGAGGATCTGGGAATAACCCTGTTATCGCCACGGATGGGCAGCTCACCACAAACCCAGGACGCCTGGCTCCGCCAGAGGACCAGGGCCCAGGTGAAGGCAGCTGCAAAACCATTCAGCCAGAAGAGCTGGGTGGGAAGGAGAGAGAATCGGACCATCACACAAGATGAGCACACAAACCAAAATTCCAAAACATCGGAGGAAAACTAACCCTAAGAAAGACAACCCATGACCCCAGGGGAGGGGACCTCAAGGAAAGACTGAGTGACGTGGAAGGCAGAACCGAGGAATCCACGCAGGAAGCATGGTGGGACGTGAAGACACGAATGAGAGCAGCTGGGGCTGCCGAGGGTGGTTAGGGTTCCCAATGCACTGGCGGGATTTCCGGGTGCAGGGAATGGCACGTCATGGCTGAGTTTTCCAGAACCGAAGCTGTCTTCTTACCCGCAGATGATAAGCACATCCCAAGTGGCCAGTGAGATGTAAAAAGTTAATAAATCCCTGTCTGAAGAGCAGACACCCGCGTCCCCGCCCACCTCCCCAGGGCACTTCCCCGAAGCTGTTCCGGCTCCGTTCCCACTCGGTTCTGACTACTCTGCCCGTCTGCTACTGCCTCGGAGTCCCTGTGGAGCCCCAATTTCCTCCCCTCAAACGGGGCTGTGGCTGTAACTAGCATAGCAGCCGAAGGGGCTTTGGGGCGGCACTGTGATGGCAGAGCTCGGGGGCGCTTGCATTGCGTCTATTCGCATCGTGACAGCAGAGCTCGATTGTGCTCGCACCTCTACGGCAGACTTCGGCAGCGCTCCTGTCCCTTGTGTTTCCAGCTCCCCCACTAACTGGCTGGGTGCTCGCTGATTATTCAACCTCCCGCGTCTTTATCTCCCCATCAGGGAAAGGGAGAGGAGGAGCACCACCTGGGCCTTGTAGGGATGAAACTGATTCACACAGCAGGGAACTTACTGCAGGGCCAGGCGCATGGCCAGCACTCACCCTGGGTTGCTGCGACTGTGACCGTGTAACCACTGCACACACTCTGTGCGAGGTGCTTCCCACTGAAGCCTTAGCGTCTCCCAGCTAGAATAGCCACACCTGCGCGGAGGCGGCCGGCCAGCAGGCTGTCACTCCGTGTTTCCTCCCCAGTACTCAGCCCTTCGTGCCCTCCTGAGACACCCCTCCCAGTGACCGTCTGTCCATCCCCTCCGGGAGCGCCCGGCCCCGCCCATCACCCCTCCCATCCGCCAGGATGCCCTACCTCTCTTTGCTCACTGCAGATCTTACACAGCCACAGTGGCCGCTTCTGGCCAGGGAAGGCCTCGATCCCGCACTTGGTGCAGACTTTCTACAAGAGAGAGGACACAGGGTTGTAAAGACTGCAGCCGCCTCCTCCTCCGGCTGCAGGGGACAGAGGGGCTTCGTCCACTGCAACTGAGGGACACTTGGCATCTCCCAATGAGTGGCTTGTGCTTCAGGACAGAAGGAACCAATCGCCCCAAAGGCACAGATAATCCCAAAACCCTTAGTTGGCTGTGGACATAATGGCTGGCCCCATCCACAGATTCTCTCCACAGTTAGGTTCTGTTAGAATTGCGCAGAAAACTAAGCTTGCTGACATTGACACCAGCATCATTGTCAACAGCAAAGAACTGGAAACAACCCAACGCCCAGCGCCAGGGGAGGGTCCAGGCAAACACAGCAGCCTGTGATCTGGTCTCTACGAGCAGATCGTGGTGCTACCTGGAAATGGGGCAGGAAATAATGTGATTCAACAAAGAGACACACATTTGCACATGAGCATACCCAGAGCCCGCCTGTGCGTCTGACATTAGACTTATGAGAGATGCTGCTAGCAACCAGAGGACTTCCTTTACGCCAAGCCCCATTTAATGATCCCCACACCCCCGTTCCATAAACCCAAGGCACTTCCTTTATGCCAGGCCCCATTTAATGATCCCCGCACCCCCGTTCCGTCAACTCGAGGCACTTCCTATATCCAAGCCCCATTTTATGATCCCTGCACCCCCGTTTTGCAAACCCGAGGCACTTCCTTTACGCCAGGCCCCATTTAATGATCCTCGCATCCCCATTCCATAAACTTGAGGCCCATTTTATAGGTGGGGAACCTGGGGCTTGGTAGAGTTTGAGGATTTGCTCAGGTTCACATGGCAAGCATGTACTGGATTCAGGTCTGATTCTAGAGACATTTTATCATGTTCTCTGGACACAGAAATAGCCAAAATCTGGATTCTACAGTCCACTGGTGTGCTGGGCCATCAGACACCAAGCCCAGGAGCTTCTGGGAGCTGGAAAGGGGCTTTGCTTTAAACTCATAATTACTGTCACTTAAAAACAAGAATATGTCTCGAGAAAATGCCTTGTGAGGTGACTGCATCGCTGTGCAAACACCATGTGGAGTATTTGCACTTGCACGAACCTCGGTGGTGTAGCTGGCTGCACTAGGCTAGCTGGTATACTCTGCTTCCCAGGCTACAACCCTGTACAACATGCTACTGTACCAAATGCCGAAGGCAACTGTAACAACAGAAAGTATTTCTGTCTCTAAATATATCATAGAAATGGTACAGTAAAAACCTGGTGTTAGAATGGCAGGGGACCGCATTAGCTGAGCGCAGTGTCGTTCCGTGAGGCATGACTGTACTTCTCTTCCTTCCCCTAAATGCACAGCAACAAGCAGAGGCATGAAAGGCCAGAAGCAGCAAGCTGTGAGGCAGAGGCAGACTGCTGGGGCTGAGACTGGCTCCAGACAAACCTGGGAGAGTCTGATTCAGCGATAGCTGGTGACTCCTCAGGACTCTTGCCCCAGCTCATCCATCTTTCTGCCACATGGAAGCCACCTGGTCCCTGCATGGGTGGGGGCTCTCTGCAGCCCCCCGCCGAGGAAAGGCTGGATCTGTGGCTTGGCCTTTTCGCAGGCTACCAACTGAGCAAGGAGGACACCTCTCCATGGAGAGGAAAATGTCACCAACTTGGCTTCCGAAAGCATGTCGTCACTGGCCTGATTAGGTGACTGAGCTCAGTGCTCCTGGGGTGGGGGTGGGAGGGGCAAGCTCACAGGGGAGGGAAGCTATGATACATTCCAGAGGATGGGAGGATGGATTTGCTACCATCCAATCCTCCGATATGAGAAATGTCACCTCGCTTTTATTTCTCCGAATAAAATGCAATCTGCTCCAAGCTCCTGTCCCTCTGGGTTGGCAAGAAAATCAGCCATAACGAGGGCCCCTTTCCGGCTCTCAGGAAGGTCCTAGGCCTGGGGTCTCTGATGGCCCAGCACATCTGCAGAGGGTCCCCTGAGCCGTCCACACTCCTCTCTGCTGGCCTGCTGCTTCCCAAGCTCTCTGAGGCCCAGCACATCTGCAGAGGGTTCCCTGAGCCGTCCACACTCCTCACTGCTGGCCTGCTGCTTCCCAAGCTCTCATGGACCCTCGAAAGGCAGTGGGAGTACTTGGCAATCCTTGTGTCTGTCTTGATTTGGATCATTGCTAGGCTGGCTTCCAGCCTCTCCAGGGACCGGTAGCCCGTCCCCTGGAGCCCTAGGCACCATCCCTCACACAGTCTGGTGACCCTCCCCTTCCCCAAGAGAGTTGCCTCTCTCCACCCCTCCCACCATTTGCTCCCAATCCTTCTACCTCGACTGCCCACGAGACAGGCTCCAGAAACACAATGTGGGCAAAGGAGAGAGAAAGGAAGTGCCAGTGCTGGTTAGCTCTGGTTTCCTCGCAAATCCCCACCATCCCTGTGGACATGGCACACAGGTGGAAATGAGTGTGGCCCCCAGAGACATGAGCTTTTCCTTCTGCACCCTCCACACACATGCAGCTTGAGTGCAGCTCACCTTATAAACACCCAGAGTGCCCCACGGAGGCTGCTGAGGGAGAGGAGGATGTGGGAACAGGAGGGAATCAAACCCCCCTGGCGCACTTGGTGAGCAGTTATGGGACCAGGTGCCACAGCCCAGGCCACAGAGTGTGAAGGAGGCGGGTGTTATGATCCCCACTATACAGACAAAGAAACCAAGGCTCAGAGATGGCTGCAGCTGCCTGAGTCACACAGCTCATTAGTGGTAAAGCAGGGCCTTGGTCCAGACCTCAGGAGACTCGGTCACACCCTCCCTGCCATGGTGCCAGGCTGGTGCGCACGGCTCACCAGAGAGCTGCTTCTGCTCAGGTGGGTCCCTGGGAATGTGGCTGATGGCTCTCAAAGGAATGGGCAGAAAAGGTGCCAGGGCTGGCCATGGGACAAAGCTTTGCTGGGGTCATGGGTGTGGCCCTGAAGCTGGCTCTAGGAGCATCGGCCCAGGCTGGGGAGTCTGGCCTGGCACCCCCTGTGCTGTCTCCCAGGAGGGAGGAGAGAGGTGTCCAGCTGTCAGCAGGAAGCCCAGCAGCCTCCCCACAGCCTGGCCTCTCCCTGGGGCTGCCCTCCCTTACAGACACAGCCAAGCGGGAGGGGACAGCCTCTGCCCATCTTAGTCAGCTCAGGCTGCTGTGACAAAAATGCCATAGCCCGAGTGGCTGAAACCACACAGCTTGTTTATCACAGCTACAGAGGCCTGAAGGCCTGGTCGGGTTCTGGGGAGGGCTCTTCCTGGTGTGCAGATGGCAGCTTCTTGCTGTATCCTCCCACGGCAGAATGAGGCCTGGCCGCCACCTCCTTGTCCGATAAGGACGCCAATCCCATCACAAGGCTTCCATCATTAGGACCTCATCTAATTGCCTCCCAACACCCCCACCTCCAAATATCACATTGGGGTAAGGGCTTCAACACTGGGATTTCTGGGGTGATATAAACATTCAGTCCACAGCCACCCCCAACCAGGACTGGGACCCTCTCTCTGCTTTTGTGCTCGGGAGCCCTAGAAGTGGGGGCTCATCGTCTCTCTCGGCCCTGGAGTCTTCTGAAGCCCTTGGTGCTCCCGAGCCTGCACCTCACGCCATCCTGCTCTGTCACCAACTTCCTGTTCCTGAAACATTGCTCTCAGCTCATCCAGAGGCCCCTGCTGGGGGTGCTCAGCTGCCCAGTGGGAGGTTTTGAAGCACATGTGGGCACACGCCCATGGGCACTGTCTCACTGATGAAACCATGTGCTGCTGGGGGCCAGGAGAGAAACCAGGAGAGTGTCCACGGAACTGAGTCCCATCCTCTGCTCACAGGCCACGAGGGCAGGGAGAGAAACCAGGAGAGTGTCCACGGAACTGAGTCCTGTCTTCTGCTCACAGGCCACAAGGGCAGGGAGAGAAACCAGGAGAGTGTCCACGGAACTGAGTCCTGTCCTCTGCTCACAGGCCACGAGGGCAGGGAGAGAAACCAGGAGGGTGTCCACGGAACCGAGCCCTGTCCCTTGCTCACGGACCATGAAAACAGAGCCCACCAATCAGGGACAGGAGCAGTAGGGACTGGTTACCCTCCAGAGGTCAGGTTGAGGCCTGTCTCCGCTGAGCTTAGGAACCGCCACCTTCACCACAGGGTCCAGTGCTGCCTGCTCCCCAGACTCCAGCAAGAGCTCGTGGCTGGCCAGGTGGTGAGAAAAACGCTCCCACCCTACCTTGGGCCACCTGTTTCAGGCCACCAGCCATCGCTGGTGGTGCCCACAGTCAGTTATTGCCATCTCTCAGACGTCTCTATGTTCCTTCAGTGCCTCTGGCTGGCAGGGAGCCTGGGGGGCTCCTAAGAGGCTGGGGCCACGAAAAGATGACTGACATGCTCCCACTGAAATGACACACAATTGCTGTTCTAGCAAATCTCAGAACAGGAAGACAGTCATGAGCCTCCTCTTCTTCTTTGTGTTTTGTTTTGTTTTGTTTTGTTTTGATACAGAGTCTCACTCTGTCGCCCAGACTGGAGTTCAGTGGCACAATCTTGGCTCACTATAACCTCCACCTCCCAGGTTCAAGCGATCCTCCTGCCTCAGCTTCCCATATAGCTGGGGCTATAGGTGAACGCCACTACCCCCGCCTAATTTTTACATTTTTAGTAGAGATGGGGGTTTTACCACATTGGCAAGGATGGTCTTGATCTCTTCACCTCATGATCCACCTGCCTCGGCCTCCCAAAGTGCTGGGATTACAGGTGTGAGCCACTGCACCTGGCCGAGCCTCTTCTCTTTATGTTCTTTGTTTCCAGGTTCCAATAAAGAAAACTAAACTGGTGGTATTTTTAGAAACCCATGAGCAAGAGGGCAAGCTGGCCTCTACCTCACCTTGGTGCAAACACAGCCCTTCACCATCTGTGTCAAGGACAGTCCTGTGTTGAAGGGGCGGCCACTCACTTCCGTGCCTGAGCTGGGCTTCCTTGGAGTGGAGCTGCCCTGGGCAAGGGAGTCCTG